CTTTAAAGATCATTACTTATTAGCGCGCCGGGTTGAACTTTCTGGGGGAGGGGAAATAAACATAATAATAGTGTTTATTGAGACGAACTCAATGCCAACGATCTTCGAAGCACTTTACGCATATGATTTTATTGAGTCTCGTATCTCCTGGACCGTGGTGAGGAATGGACGGATTAATGCATAGAGAGCTATTAAAACCATTGGGCACCTGGGGAGTGACAGCCCAGGGAGGGGGTCCACTATCACCTCCATTTTATGGATTAAAGTTGCAGCAGCTTTGCCCAGGGTAAAGCAACTTCCCAAGGGGCTGAGTCAGACTGGACACCAGGGCATAGTTGGAGCCAGATAATGTTCAATCCTAAACTGTGTTATAGCTCCACATCCTTTAAGTGTAAGATGCCAATTTGCACTCCGATCTGTTATTCCTTTCTGCGTTTCTCTCTCTCTCTTCTAAAAAATAATACGGTAAATAGGATCATATTTATTGCCTCGATAATACTTCTTGATTTTTGTTTTCTGGTTTTCGGCCTCGGAGCAGCAGCTCAGTAGGTGCGAGGATTAAAGAATGCCAGCCTGTGGGGCTCACGTTCATTTTGCTTGGGTGGCCCAAGGGTTAAAGAGAAAGAGGCAGTGCCCCTGGCACGGGCGGGTAAGAGAGGAGGGGTCTCAGGCCTCAGCTCCCTAACTCCCCCTTATCTCTACTTGGATCACATATTCTGACTCTGGATGAGACCATTTCCATCATCTCCTACAATCCTTTTACTATAAAAATGAATTGGAGCCTGAGTGGTTAAGTCAAGGCTTGACTGCACTCTGTCCTCCTCCCTCCTCTGTCCCTGGAGAGACCCCCACCCACCTGACTAATCTCCCCTGCAGCCCTGACCATCTCTGGACACCCACCTGTGTGACACCCCCATCACAGCCTTGTCCACATGGAGGTATCAGATACGCTCAAACGCAAAGTGTCTACACTGCGTTCATCTTTCCTCCTTCATCACACGCCTCGCTCCATTCTCTTCTGTTTATCTCCTCCTGTCCCGGTGACATTCACGCTGGTCCCCTGACCACCCACGTCAGAAACACGGTCCTCCCTGACCATCCACTTCCTCTTGCTCCTTCTCTGCGTAAAGCGAAGCCCTGCTGCTTCTCCCTTCTAAGTGCCTCTCGATCTACCCTCTCCTCATCCCCACTGCTATGTCCTCAGCTCACTTTCAGGACTGGTGCAGAAAGGCGGTTTGTCACACCCCCTGCTTTTCCATTCTCCCATGCTGGCGAAGGGAGCTTTGTACTTTGCCAACGTGATCCTGAGCCTCTTTTGCTTGCAGCAAAGGCACGGAGGGCTGCTGTGAAGACGAAATGATTTGATCCACGTAAAGTCCTCAGAACCACCGAGAGAGGCAGGAGGGCCTAGTGGTCAGAGGGGCAGGTTTGGAGGCACAGAGCCAGGGTTCACATTCTGGGCTCCCTGCCTGCTACCCTGTGGCCTTGGGCAAGTGACTTCACTTCTCTGTGCTCTAATTTCCTCATCTATAATATGGGGGATAAGAATAGCTCTACCAAAATTTGCTAGAGAATTGAATGAATGCATGTAAAGTGTTTAGCGTAGTAGCTGGTACAAAGTGCTAAGCTAAAAAAAAAAAAGGGCTAAGCTATCATTCATTCATTCAACAATTACGTACGGAACTGCGATCTATTATCATACTACCAGGTTCCTATTTCGGCTCTAATTACTTGCTGTATGACGCTGGGAGTTTACGTAACCTCTCTGTGCCTCCGGGTCTTCATATATAAAGTGGGGCTGATAAGAGTACCTACCTGAATGGATTGTCCTGATAATTAAATGACACAACACCGTCAAGCACTCAGCACACAGGAAGTGTTCTGAAAGGTCTGCTACACTATGACTATCATTGTTATTGTTGTAGTTATTATTACGACTCTGAGGTGCTGGGCATAGTCTAGGTCCTCATGCAGTTTTCTATTCCCTGGTATAACTCAACCATCAACACGTAGCTTCAATTTCACCCTGCAGTGAAATTATTCGCGTGGAGTCTTTTGCCTTCTGTGAATTTCGAGCCACCCCTGGGATGCGTCCCTGACTCAGAATATAAGTACATATAAGATGTGTCGTGCCCAAGCGCCCGTTATAGCTATGCAGGTTTCCTCTACCAGGCTGTGACCTTCTTGAAGCCAAAGCCTGCTTCTCTGTTTCCCAGGCCCTGGCATATATACTGGGTGGTGGATACCTGTGTGTGGATAACGGAATGAATCAAAGAATGAACGGACAGCTGTGGACAGCAGCGTGACCTTGGCCCATCACCTTGAGCTTCTTCTTACCAGGACCTCAACCCTCCGATCTGTCACCCAAGGCAGGTTTCCATTTTCCTGGAGCTAAAGGCCGCACGCAGCCTTTGGTGCGGGGAAATCTCCAAACGAAGGAAGTCAACAGTCCTTTTGGAAATCCTGCACATTCTAAACCAGGGCTCCGTGGCCTGTTAGGAACCGGGCCACACAGCAGGAGGTGAGCGGCTCCCCGTCACTCACACGCATGACCGCCTGAAGCGTGCCCCTGCCCCCTACCCCGTGCGTGGAAAATTGTCTTCCACAAAACCTGTCCCTGGTGCCAAAAAGGTTGGGGACCGCTGTTCTAAACGACAGCAAAGGCTCTCACGGATGCCTTGATTTCCCTTGGAACCACCGTCGAAAGCCTACGTACCTGAACACGGGCAGACCCGAAACCGCCATTAGTCTAATGGTTTTAGAACTGAGTATTCTAAGCTCGTACCCAGCTTGGGCTCTCACCGCAGTGCTCTGACGGTTACCTTCCTCGACTTCTCCAAGCTCCATTCCAAAATGTCCTTTTTATTTTTCCTAGGAGTTACAGAAAGGGTACGTGACATACATACACATGTACGTAAATATCTTTAGTCTTTTCGGGGGCTAGATGGGAACAATCGACAAATAGGTTTCTATTTGTGGGCATTTTTGTTTTAAACGGTTTTTCTTTTTTAATGCACTGAAGGCTATTCTGGATTTAACCTTAAATTACCTGACCTACCTAGTTGCTGTTTCTCAAACTTGGTTCCAAATCATCCAAGTTCCCTGCTCCTGTATGCTACAGCAAACCCCCCTAAAAAAAAAAAAAAAAGATTGATACCATTGTTCAATTCTAGCGTCACTGATGCAAGGGTAGCCTGGGTCCTCGGGCTTAATTCCTGAACACCATCTGCAGGAAACAGGCTGCCCTGTCCTTCAGGCTTCTGTCCATCCTTAATAAGTGTTTAATCAATGCTCAAAATTCTTAAGAGCTCTTTGTTCAACCTGGACCTTGGCATCAGGATGACCCACAGATGGCTCGGCTTGTGCTATCAGGTCCGCAGGGCAGTTGGTCTGAACGGTGCCCTTGGGTTAGAAGTTGAGTTTAGCGGTGCCTCTGACAAGAGGAACCCAGGCCCACTTCAGGTCTACAGCTACACAACTCAGACAGCAAACATGGGAGAAGCAGCGAGTACGAGGGTGTGTAAAGCTGATGAGCTTCTCCTTGATGACTCAGCACCCTCAGCAGGTAGTCCATCCTGTCCAGATCTACAGTCTGATTTGTAAATGTGTCCAGGAGTTGCTGTAAAGCCAGCATCCTTTGGACGGTTGTATACCATTCTATCTCAGTACAATTTGACCCCAGCAGGTCAACTGAGCCCTACTCTGACTTAATTCTCCTAATTGGCTGGAACCATTCTCCGGACCCTAGTCCAGGGGTACGAGTGTATCCACGCTTGGTGCCCAAGATGCTCCTTAATGAACTGCGCTAAAACCGGGCCCTTGTATCCTGCCACTCAGAGACAACTTCCAACCATAGCCGCTTCCTGCATGGAGGAAGCCTGAAATTAAATCATCCTATACCCACTTTGGAATCCGTCCATTTGCCATTTCACATAGATAACCAATGACCTCTAGAGAGAGATGCACACGCAGGATTTGCTTGAAAAGCAAACAGAGGGAGAAAGTTTTCTCTGTTCTCTCCACGCACTGAGAAGGGTCACCTAACAACGCACAAGGGACCAGCGCCAAACTAAAGAACATCTTTTATTTTTAATAAAATAGTGAAGCATGAAAAATATCATATATTACAGATAGACACCAGCAGGACCACTCTTTCCTGGCGTTTCCTGGTGAGGAGAATAAACTCCAAGGTTGGTAGATGGCTTCCCGGGTCTATTCATGGAGACCATTTGTTTAACAATAGAAAGAGTCAATGAGCCCTTTGGGCACTTTTGAAGGATCCTTCCCCCCTCTCCACCCACCCTTCCGCAAATCAGTCCAAACGTGTGTCACATTGGCTTGGTTTCCATTAAAAAGCCACGAACTGTAAAACTAAAGGGGTTCTGAGGGCTGGGCCTCTTAGTTCTTTTGTTAGGAGATTTCTTTTGTTGTCTTTATGTACAGCAAAATACTTGTTTCTCTTTTGATTTTCACGTAAAGAGAAAAAAAAATGTATTGCACATCGTTGGCATTGACCAATATTAGGTCTGGTGGAAGTTTCTATGTCGGAGAAAGACCATTTGTGGAGGTTGGAGTCTCTTTTAAGTGACTCCAAATCCACTGGAGGGTGCTGAGTTGTCAGGCTTTCTCTTTCTTCCTGTTGGCACAGAAGTTGCTGTCTACACGCAGCCTTCCTGAGGGTGGCCCTGGGCTCCCCTGCCGGACAGTGACTCTCTCTCTTTCTCCCTTTTTGAAACTCAGCAGAGGCTCTTTAATTTGCAAAGAAGTTATCTCTTCTCTGATTTGTAAATGGATAGCAAAGCCAACTCAAACACACAGATGTATATTTATGGAAGGTTCTAAACAAAAGTTTTCTTCTGGGGGCCTGAATCAACTATGTTACCACAAATTAGTTACACAAGAGGCTACTTAACTGGGAGGGTTCTCCTTCACTGAAAACAAAAACAAAACAAAACCCTTTAAGTACATTTTGACTTTCAGTGTTATCACAGCATCCTGAATTTCAGGGTAAAAGCTTTTTATTTTTTTCCTTTTACTTTTATTTAAAAAAAAAAGAAAAAACAAAACAAAACAAGCAACCAACCAACCAACGGAGAAAAGCACCATGTTTTGGCTCTGACTCTGCCACTGTATCCTCCCTGGGAAAGTTTTCCGCTCTGGCCTTCCCTCCAAGTGCCATTCACACGCAGGTGGGAGGCTGGGCAGGGATTTCATATTTCCCGAGATGGGTTTTTGGGGGATGCTGGGCTTTTTTGTAAATTCCACTGCTGGTGATCACGCTGGCCGGTTTTCTTCGGCTCTTTTTCTTGAACCTGCGGCTGCAAACGTTCTGCCAGGACTGCAGAGTCTTGGATGTCCAGACCCACATGCCACTGGTGATGCCCACCACCAACAGCATGAAAATCTTCACCATGAAGATCTCCACCGCGGGGATGGAGGCGGCCATCAGACAGTCCAGGTTTTTAGTCTGGTTGTTCATTTTGCACTTGTGCTGCGTGGCCAGGATTTTCCAATACTCCACGTTGAGGCGTTCGTAAAAGTAACAGGCAATCACACAGGTGGCCGGCACCGTGTAGAGCACGGAGAAGACCCCTATCCTCACCATGAGCTTTTCCAGTTTGTCCGTGTTCTCCCCGCCCGTTTTCATCACCCTCCGGATGTGGAAAAGGGCCACGAAGCCCGAGAGGATAAAGGAAGTTCCGATGATGAGGTAACAGGCCAGCGGGAGGAGGACAAAGCCGGTGAGGGCGTTGCCGTCCATGCTCCCCACGTAGCAGACGCCGGTCAGCTCGTCCCCCGCGACCCTGCGCATCACCAGGATTAGGATGGTCTTCACGGCCGGGATGGCCCAGGCGGCCAGGTGGAAGTAGCTGCTGTTGGCCTCGATGGCCTCGTGGCCCCACTTCTTGCCCGCAGCCAGAAACCAGGTGAGCGTGAGAATCACCCACCACAGGGAGCTGGCCATGCCGAAGTAGTAGAGAACCAGGAAGACCAGGGTGCAGCCCGTGCTCTCAAGCCCCTCCTGGATGACGTACAGCTGCCCGCTGTCCCGGTCGCAGGCGACGCTCTCGGCGCCCGCGAAGAGGCGGATGATGTAGCCCACCGAGTAGACGCAGTAGCACATGGAGAGGAAGATGACGGGGCGCTCGGGGTATCTGAAGCGCGCCGGGTCGATGAGGAAGGTGAGCACGGTGAAGGCGCTGGAGAAGAAGCAGAGCACGGACCACACGGCCAGCCAGACCACGGCGAAGTGCTTGTCGTCGCGGCTCCAGTAGACGTCCACGCCCGGCGTGCAGAGCGGCGCGCACGACGCGCTCTTCTCCACGTGGCGGAACTTGCCCGGGTTGTCGCAGCCGGCGCGCCCGGGCCCCCCGTCCTTCAGCTGGTTCTCCTGCGCGCTGTGCGGCCGCTGCGGCCGGAAGAGCGGCGGGAACATGCCCGAGCCCCGCGCGGGCTCGTCCGAGCCGTTGTTGGGCGCCTCCATGCACAGGTAATTGGGGTCGTTCTTGTTGGGGAGTTTGCTGCAGTCCAGCGAGTCGGGCCACTTGAAGTTGAACTGCTCCATGATCGGGGAGCACTTGAGCCGGGCCTGCTCGCACATGACCCGGCAGGCGGGGATGGGGGTGGAGACTTGCTCGGTGCACATGGGCGCGTACAGGGAGCACAGGAAGAAGCGGAGGTGGCCGTGGCAGCCGTACTCCACCAGCGGCGCGAACTCGTGCAGCTGGATGGCGGCCTCGCGCTGGTTCTCGTGGCCCATCAGGTTGGGCATGCGGGTCATGTTGTAGCCAATGTCCTTGCACATCGGGATCTCGATGGGCTGGCACTTGCCGTCGCCCGGACGCTCCATGTCCATGGAGCTGATGGCGGCGCACGAGCCCATCACCTGAAGGACCAGCCACAGGCGGGGGCCCGGGAGCTGCATGGTGGCGTCGGAGGTGTCCCCGCGGGGAGGTCGGCCGCCCTCAGAGCCGCCGCTCCGGGGCTCGGGATGCCGGCTCCGGCTCCTCGTCCCCGCTCGGGCCCCCGCCCATGCCCGCCCAGCTCAGCCCGAGCGATGCGCACGGAGCGCCCCCGGCCCCGCTCTCCGCGCGCCGCCTCCGCCGAGGTGAGGCCGCGGAGGAGACGAGCAAAGTTTGCGAACAATACCGGGAAGCGACAGGACCCCCGGAGCTCTCGGCGCGCGGGCCGCCGCCGCCGCCAACTTTGGCCTCTCGTGGGAGCGCGCGGAGAGGGCGGGCGGCGCGGGCGCACGGGGGCCGGCGGCTGGCGGCAGCTCCGCCCTCCCCGCGCCGGCCTCTGCCCGGCCCGGCCCGCAGCCTTTCGGAGATCTGGTCCCGGCCGGAGCCGACGAGCGAAAAGGCAAAGGGGGAAACAGCCGTGCGGTGACAGGCCCCGCCCCCGGGCCGCGCGCCCCGCCCCGCCCCGCCGCTGCTTTGCATGAGAAAGCGCAGCTCCGGGCCGCCCGCTCCCGCCGCCGCCCCCCGGCCCCCGGCCCCCGGCCCCCGGCCCCCGGCCCCGCTCCGCCGCCCTCCCGTGCGTCCCTCCCGCCGCTCCTTCGCCCTCTGCGCCGGCCTCCAACTTGGCCTCCCGTCGCCTCCCCGCCTGCGCCCCCTTTCCCGGGGAGCCCCCGGCCTCGTCCCCCGCAGCCCAAGGACGCCGGGGTGACTGGGAGTTTGGAGCCTGGCCGGAGGAGGGGCGGGCTGGTCCGCGGCCGAGGCTGGGGGCGCGTCGCCCCTGGTTTTTATGGTGGGTCCCGGGCGGAGGGCGCTTTCAAAGCGAGGTGGGATTTGCGTTTTATGGCCTCGGCCATAAAGTGGCCCCTTAGCTTGTAAACCTGCTCGCATCTTCCCGAGGCTGCGGAGTTACCAGGCCTGCGTCGGGTCTCCGGCTCCGGGGAGGGGTCTCTTTGAAATTTCAAAGAGTAGAGCTAAGGGCCGGGGGGGGGCGGGAAGGGCTCTGGGAATCCAGATTTTAGGGCCGCTCCTCCGCGGTCTCCGCGGAGAAGGCGGGGAGGGGGAGGAGGAGGGGGAGGGGCGGGCAGCTTCCTGGGGCTCTTTAGGTCCCACCCCCCCGCCTCGGGCCGTGGGGGGCTTGGCGTGTAGCCGAGGGACCCCCGCCCCCGACAGCGCCGCGGAGTTGAGGGGCCTCGCGCCAGGCAGGGCTGCTGATTTCTTCTAGGCGGCTGGGTTTATTTATTATAGGAAGTCATTCGCTCGTCGGGTATTTATATTATTTGGCCAGTGATTTGCCCGACTGCTCCCTCCTGGGCTGCAGACCCGCGGGATGCTGCGGCGTTGAGGGTGGGAGGTGGGCGGGCGCTGAGTCAGCTCACTCCGAGGGTCCCCAACTCCCCGGGCAAGGGGAGGCACCCGTGCCTCTCAGTTCTCTTAAAAGGTGCGGAGGGAGCGCCCTGGCCCAGTGCCCTTAGATCACCCCCCTCGGATGGGGGGCGCCAATTGGGGACGAAGTCACTTCGGTCACGCACGCCCACGCCCCACCTCCAGACAACTTGCCCGTCGCGTCACCTGGCTGCCCGTATTAACCCTTCAGTAAACAGGATCCCTAGGGGGTGGCCGGGCCTCTCTCCTCTTAGCCGCTCTCGAGATCAAGATCTCTTAAAGTTTTTCGGAAACTCCCAGGATCACGCATAGCGGGGGCAGTTGGAGGACTTTCCCGGGCGGGAGGAGAGGTCAGAGGAGCGGGCCCTGCGGACCGGGGCCTCCTTTGTCCTCCTGCCTTTCTGGGGTTAGCCCTCTGCAGGGGTGTACCGTGTGTCCAGACATCCCTGAGAGTCGGTGCGGGGGGCCCCCGGTCTTGCCGCCCCCACCCCCGGGGCTTTGCAGGAGCGGCGGGCGCTGCGGGTCCCCGGCTATTTCTAGGAAGCGCCGAAGAAGGAAACACTACTGCTAGGAAGCTTCTTGTCGGCGGGGGCAGAAGTGGGGCACTTCCTCTGAGAAGGCTTTTTAGAGTATTGGCTTTTATTTGAAACAAGTCGTAGGATTTTACATCTAGTAAACTTGGGAGAACTCACATATCCACCTTCCTTCCTTCCTTCCTTCCTTCTTTCCTTCCTTCCTTCCTTCCTTCTTTCCATTCATCCATGCATCCATGCATCCATGCATCCATCCATCCAGCAAACACTGAGACGAATGAGGCTGGGAATTGCACCGGGCACTGAATCAGTGTCCCTGGATCTCAGTGTGAGGTGTTGGAAGAGGTTCGGGTGAGGAAGAAAGTGGAGAAAAAGGTGGTCGAGGTAAACGCTAAGGCAGAGTCAGAACAACCGCCTTCAACTGGATTGTTTGCCGAGATGCTTTTTCAAAGGCTGCCAGTTTTCTTATTATAGTTTGTTTGTTTGGGGATGGGCGTTTTTTTGTGCGTGTGTATATATTTTTTGAGTCTAGTGAGCTATTTCCCAAACCTTTCCATTAAAAAAGATTCAGTGGACATCCCTTGGCTTTTCTAGAATTTTCCTTGCCAAGATCCTTCCTTGGACATCATTTTTCTTCTTTTCCTTTTCCTTTCCTTCCCTCAGAAGCTCTGAAAATATAAATGTGAGAGAGTCAGGGGCAGTGCCAAACACCGGGAGTGGGGTGTTAGCTATTTGAGAAAGTGCCTCCTAATTGATCTTTTCTGTGCTGTTTTAATTCGGCCATGTTCAGACCCATTATTTTCACTACAACCACTTCAGATTGCTTTCTTCTCTCGTTTTTTTAGAAAAAATGTCTGCAGAAGTGCTTCGCTCTGCCCAGCTGAGATGGAAACCAACAAATAGACATTATGATAGAAAAATGAGGGCTCTGAGAAATCACCAACTGCAAGATAACTCTGTAACTAATAAATGAAAAGGGTCTTTTGATGGCTCCAGCTGAAAAGATATTTTATTTTATTTTATTTTCCTGTGTGTGGGATTTGAGATGTGTGATTCTAAGAAGCAGCGGGTTCCCTGCTGCTCAGCCCGGGCTGGCAACTGGCCCCCCTCTGGCAAATGTTATGGAGAATTGGGAGGAATTTTATGGCTGTCTCTCCCCTCAGCTCTTTTTTCTTTTGTCTTCTTTGAAGAATGACTTTAGACATTTTATTTACATATTTAACCATGGATGAAAGAGGGAAAAGAAAGCATTTGGGGCTGTCGTGGGAATAGCGATATGTTTAAATTAATGGAAATCTTATTAGGCCTCTAAAATTTTGAGCAAAGGTTTTTAATGAAACTTTATAATTAAACATGATTTCAAATAACATGCAGGGACAAGGAATATATATATATATATATATATATATTTGTATATATATATATGTTTCACCCCAACTGCCTAAAAATATATATATGGGAGAGACACTCTTAAACATTAACTACCTTCAAGTTCTTGCAAATGTTTGCCCAGAAAAGTATAAGGTTTTTCAATGGGAATATGATTTCAGGAGTCAGGCAATATTTTGATGGAAAACTAAATATTTTTGGATGGAAGGGAATTGAGAGAGAGGCAGAGTTTCATCTCGTTCTAGTGAGGTCCGAAGTAGAAAACACTTTGACACAGATATTGCTAAAAATCAAAGTTGTATCTCCTCTTACGTTGTTATAGTCAGTGGAAATTATAAGCACTGTGTGAGATCTTTCTGAAATGAGATTTGAGAAAACTCACAGTAATCTCTTTCAGATAAAAAGTACTAACTCTTTCAGCAATAGAAAGAAATTGAACCATAGACTTAGCACGTTACAAGCTAATTGCAAGAGTGAACTTGTAGCATATCAGCAGTTTAGGAAAGGAGAAGGGTATTAATAAAGTTGAAGGTAGAAAGTGGTTCAGGCTATCTGTGTTTTCCAGGAACAGTTGCTTGGAGCATCGCTCTTGGCACATTGATGTTTGATGATCCCATGAAGTGAGCGTGGTGTTACTTCTTTTATCTCCTACTATCATCAATATTTGTATTTCATCAGCGCGGTTCCGATTCTCCTTTCAAGTAAGAACGAGATGCTCATAATTGCCCGACATGCAGAGCGATCTCTGATACCAAAAGGCGCCATTTTCCCTGACCTCCTCTTGGGTTACGTTTCTGCAGACACTTATTATCAGATTTAAAAAAAAACAAAAACAAAAAACAGCAGGCATGGAGAATTCTGCTTTCTAACCAAGCAAGCGTGCCCTTTCCCCCCACCCCTACCGCCCCACATTTTTCTCCAAGGAAAATACCTTTGGTCATCTGAAGGGATGCTTTACTAAAGAAAACACACAGCGTGTATCACCCGAGAAGCCAAGCAAGCTGCAGCAGATTCAGCGGGCACAGAAGTTTTAATTCCACCTAAAAACACTAGTCGGAAGAGGTTGAGATGGGGGTGGGGCGATGAGAAACAAACAGCAAAGCGTCCACATCATAAAACGGATGACTGGAGGGCACTCTGTCTCCCCAGCACAATTTAGACAGCGATTTTAAGGCCACTTCCCTTGAAACGTGGTTTGAAATATTACCAAAGGTTCCACGGGGTGCATTAGTGTGAATTGCAAATCAGAGCATGTCTCTAATCCCCCTTTCAAGGCCCGGCTTTGGATCACTGGCGTCTACGCGGCTCCCCACTGCTTCTGGCGCTGGAGCGACCATTCAAGGGGACAGCTTTCCCCTCTATTCCCACACTCCAAAAACAACACCGCAGACAGACACCCTCCAACTAAATTAGATTAAACTCCTTCTCCTCCACATGGCATTAGCCTTTTCACTGCCCAAGATTCATTATCCGGCGCCTCCTAATTTAAAGATACAGTATTTCTTTTTCATCTCAACAGAGACGGGCGAGAGCGACACACACGCTGAAAAAGGGGACAAAGCCGGCCTTCGATGTAAGTGCTTCCAAATTACAAGGACATTATCTGTTTAAAATATAGGAAGGCTTAGCACACGTCTGCTCTAAAATACAAACAAATTGACCCTTCACCTCTGACAGAACCGGCCCCATCAAAGTACTTAAA